GGTGTTGCTCCCGCACCTTGCTCAGCCAGTGAGCAGCCGGTCTGTATGTGGGATCCGAACCTTCGGCGGGAGTGCAGCTGCGCTCCCAAGCGGCGCGCTGTAGCAGTGCGCCACCGGGCCGGCCCCTATCCTTGATTTTCTTAATTTGATCATCATTTCACTGTACGATGTCTGTAAATTGGCTTCCTCTTATGTATCCTGTTTGGCACTCCATGAATCCTTCAATATGTATATTTCATGTTTCTGTTTTTATGAAAAAATTTAATTATTTTATTATTTACAGCCCTTGATTTTCTTTTTTTTTTTTTCCTGTTCATGGGACTCCCCCTCTTATACGGATATTGGTATTTTCTATGCTCCTTAGTATATGTGTATGTGTGCATGTATGTGTAAATATTCTTTTTAAGCCAAACTGTTACACTGTTGAAGAGAGGCACTTGAGAAAGTGGTTAAATGAGGGGAAGGAAGGAGGAGCTTAGCAGATGAAAGTGCTTTCTTCCCTGAGTTACCGACGTTCTCTGTAAAAGAAATTCGTGGGCCGGCCCGGTGGCGCACTACGCTAGTGCGCCGCTTGGGAAGCGTAGAGGCGCTCCCGCCGAGGGTTCGGATCCCACATACAGACCGGTTCCCGCTCACTGGCTGAGCAAGGCGCGGGGGCAGCGCCGAGGGTTGCGATCCCGTTGCCGGTCCCGGTCCGGTACGGGGGCGACACTGAGGGTTGCGATCCGTTGCCGGACACAGAAAAAGACAAAAAAAAAAAAAAAAAGAAATTCGTAACTGAAGTCTGAGTTAAAGGGGCAAATTTAATTAACTTGTAGTCCAGAAGCAAAAGTGAATCGCAGAGAGTGTCCCAAGATAACAAGAATGGTTAGGAGGTAGAATTCGTTATCTGAATAATTTAAAAGAAGGACTACGGATCAGTTGTTAAATATAGAGCAATCTCATAGCCTAACTGGCAATTAATAGACAGTTACTAAGAGCTTGTGTGTCAGAAATTATTTAATCCTGGTGAGTGATTACGAGTTTGGTACTATGAATATTTGTTCCATTGTCCTCCCTGTCTCTGAAGCATTCAGCAACTGGCACAAGATTGCACAGCTATTGAGTGAACCCACCGACTCCAGCACTATCTTAAAACTGGCCACTGCATGGGGTGCTATTCACAAAATCCTCCTTGACTAACATCTTCCACCAAATTTGTGACATTTCATTTCCCTACACATTCATTTTCTTGTCTCAGGTAAATGTGAACAGGAAGATTGTGGTTGTCACTTTAACTCACAAGTCATCTAATTCATAAAAGTAATGTGAACATCTTGAGAAAAAAATTGATGCTTACAAATAAAAACATTCAGAATTTTCTGTTGCACTTCAGTCTCATTTTAAAGCCTTTTAGGATATGCTAATGTTGGCATGTACTTACCACTCTCCACCCCATGCCATTCTGTGTTGTGCAGCCTGGGAAGGACAAGTTCTACATAACACCACTTATATGAGGAATCTAAAATAGTTGCATAGAATGGTGGTTGCCAGGGGCTTGGCAGGACAAGGAAAAGAGGAGTATTAGTCAAAGCGTACAAAGTTTCCGTTATGCCAAGTTGAGTAAGTCCTAGAGATCTACCATACAGCATAGTGCCCACAGCTAACAATACTATATTGTATACTTAAAATTTTGCTAAGAAGGTAGATGTTATTACATGTTCTAATAATAAATAATAAAAATAACAAAAAAAGAGGGTGGGAGTTAACTTTTGCAGGGCACGAGTATGTTTATGGTGAAAATGTGGTGATGATTTCATGAATGTATACTTATCTCCCAGTTGTATACAACTCGTACTGTAATGTATACAACTTGTAGTACATGAATAGCTTTTTGTATGTACATCAAACTGCAATAAAGTGGTGAAGAAAGAAAGAGGAAAGGGACAGCACTATGGATCCTCGCAGTAAAAGCTCTGTCCCAGAATCTTGTCAGAGAGTGGTGGTAATGAAATAGAAAAGACTTTGGAAGGTGAACATTTTATTGATCTTTGTCCTTTTTTTTTTTTTTTTTTTTTTTTTTTTAGAGCCAAGAGCTCTGGGACTTGTTAAAATACAAAGAATCCTCATCATTAATGCAAGTGGAAGAAAACTCTCCAGTAAAGAAAAAAACTGATCACATGATGACAGGAGAAAAAAATTACGGAATTGATTGCTTGAATATATAATTTCATTTTTGGATAAAAAATAATAAATGTAAGTTTGTTTTTTTAAAAAGTGTCCGTTGGTTAAATTCAACTTGGAAACAGCTGCCACCCCTTCAAGTGCTAAGGCAGTTACTTTCACAATTCATCTCCCCCACCTCCCTCCCATCTATTTCCTGTCTCTCCGTCCAGGTAACAGGAAAACGGAAAAAGTAATTTTTTCCCCCAACTCTTTCTCAGCTTCCCCAATTGCCATTTCTGAAAAGTGAAAACTACCTGAAGGTAGGCGAGAATGACTATAACCATCGTCTACCCACAGGCCGGTCTCGGCTGCTCGGAGCGCGGGGGGCGGCGGGGCGGGGCGGGCGTGCGCGCGCGGGTGGCAGCGGGACGGCGCGGGGGCACTATTGCTCCGTTTTGATGGCGGGGGCGGCGTGACGCTTCGCCGGGTAGATATTGCGTCCTCCCCTCCTGCCTCCTGGGCAGAACTGCAGGCTGACTCCGAGCCGAGGTTTTCTAAGAAAAGCCAAGGCCGGGAGCGAGGATGGAGAGGCTGGTGAGCGGGGCAGGGGCGGGAAGCAGGGCGCGGGGTGGCCGACGTCGAGCCGGGGGCGCAGCCTGGTCCGTGCTGTTAATGGCAGCGCTTTCCTCCCAGCGCTTCGCCTTGCTGAGAAGCGGATTTTGCCTTGCCAAGGGTGGTTTACAGGCTGTGCCAGGCGTCCCGCTTGCCTGTCTCGCGTCCGTGGATAAAGGATGCTCCCGAGCTGGGGCTCCGGGGATGCTTCTCCCGGGCGCATTGCTGGCGGCGGAGAGCAGCTGCGCGGGAGGCGCGCGGGCGGCCCTCGGCTCCTCCGGCCTGGCTGGCGGGCGGGCCTCACCGGCCCCGGCTCCCGAGGCCAGGAAAGCTCGACCTATTGTAAACCTCTCCAAGAAGGGGCTGTCGCGGCCTGAAGGCGCCATAAGCTGCGGG